ATTAGAAATGACAGACGACTCGCTGCTATTGGACTGCCAGACATTCCTCACCCTTCATCCCGTGGGTGAAGCTATTGAAGCTGACTGGAATATGGAAAGCTAACAGCTGAGTGTTTTTGCCAAGATGCCCTTCATCTGCACAGAAACCTTTTGTAAATATGACTGCACAGCATACAAGTCTGTATAACAGTGACATGCTTGATCGTATATATAAGACATAGCTGCAGATATATTATTTCAGTGCTGTATATCATGGCAATAACACCTAAACTGTAAGCTTTTACATACAATGGCCTTTTGTTGTGCAGGTTATTTATTGTGTTGGTGTGAGGTTGTGCAGTGCTAGTGTGTGAGTGCATCCAGGGGCTTGTATTGTTAGGGAATCAGTGGCTCTTGTTTGTGGAGCTGGGAGGGTTTACTAACAATGCCTTTTTTATGTCCCAGAGTGTGTGCCTGTCGGCAAACGTCCCTTCAGAATTTTTGTTTGTGTTTTGTTTTGTTGGTGGTGTGTTTGTGTGTGTGTGGATCAGGGTCAGTGAACATAACCCTCTCATTGTGTGCCATGTCCAAATAGACCAGTTTTATATTAGACACATGTGACTATTAGTGTGTGTGTGTGTGTGTGTGTGTGTGTGTGTGTGTGTGTGTGTTTTGAATATACAGTATGAGTGCGAATGATTTAGCATGGATGTGTGGAAAGTGCCAAGCCGAAGGGGTTTACCGCCAGTCCTTCCTAATGGAGCCTTTCACTCTCCCTCCATTCATGTGACGGTATGGTGACAGAGAAGGGGGAGCCAAGGATTAAGGGGGTAGAGGCAGTGCCTTGTTAAAGAAAAAGAAAAGGTTTGAGTGTGTCGATTGGATTAACTTGTTTGGGCTTATTAAGAGGGGAGACACAGCAGCTTGTTAAAAGCATTGCATGGGGCGTCCCACAGTGAGATGGCAGGGTCACCATTCAATTAGGCTAAAGCCCCGCCCCCACTCATTGTGGAGGCTGTCTGCCAGGCTCCTGGACCTCGGCTGGTCCTACATTGGGAGGGAAGATTCACTGGAGACACATTAATTAAGATAATCAAACCTCTATAGTACCCTAATGATTGGTTTTCTATAAAAATCACTTAGGAATAATATTAGCTAGTGTTATGAATTGTTTAAAATGTCTTGGTATTAATGCTGTTACAACAGTTTCAGTATCAATACCAAAATCATTACTTTTTAATCCCTTATTTTAAAAAGTATTGCATGTTTGCAACACCCCTATGATCAGACAAATGTCGACTGGACATTCTGCTAAACTTTAGATTACATCTATGAGATGTTATTTTCCATCTAATGCTCACATTTTAAAATTCTTACAATCACAGTGCTGTTGTAAACACCATGGTTATGTCAAATGGTTAGGACACTAAAATCCTTGGATAAGATTATCAAAAGGGTGTGATAACAGATAATAAAAACATGAAAATCAATTGCAGGTTTTAATGGGAGGTGACCTCAGAACATGCTAAATGCTCATCTACCTTATTTTCCCATCTTAGCCTTTAGCTTTGCTACATATAGGGCACATAACGTCCTACAGTAATACTGAAGACTGGCACTGAACATCATGAGGTATAGATTTCTCTAGTAACAATACAATTCAAAGGATGCTTGTTTGTTTTTTTTTAACGAAACCCAATATTCATTTGACAAAAGTAGACGAAGTTCACAAATGTTCCTCTGAGAACTTAGTAAGTATTAACTAGTGTAAAATCGGCAACATTTACTTTTAAATCAGACACCATCTGATCAAGCAATGAGCAAACAAGAATATGAGTCAGAGCAGATATTTAATGCCATGTTTTGGTGCTTCATGGTTTATGAAACTCAAGACACATTTCAGCCTGTACCAAAAAACATCAGGTTTGGTATCCAGCCAGAGTTTTAGCTGCCTCGCTCTTTCTTTCACCTGTAACATGTGTAGCTCCAAACACATGCACACACACATTCCGTTTATTCACCCATGACCACCCTGTTACACTGCGAACTTGGCAGGATGCTTATCTGGACAGACAGCTTTGGGCGCGGGAAGCCATCTCCTCTGATCTCCTCTGCAGTTTAAGAACCTTTTAACTAAGAAATAGGGCTCTGCCAAGCCCACTGCCTCTTGATTCCGGCTTATTCCCTCATCTCATGGGACTGATCTTCCGCCCCCATTGCAAACCCTGCAGCAGTGTTAGCAGAACACTGAAAGAGCCGATAGACATCCTGGCTTTTTAGATATCTGTACACTGGTGTAATAGGAGTGAGTGAAGTGCAGGTGGGTTTTTCTGAGCAGTGTATTGGGTGCGAGTGCTCACACAGATTCTCCAGTGCCTTCACAGAGACTGACCTGGACATGACAGGCTGTTTTAGGGTAGCTGACTGATGGGTCGTGGGTTTGGAGATCATTTCCTGCCACTGATAGACATCTGCTAATCTACAATAACCTAATAGGAAGAGATGAGGGGAAAGGGAGACATGACAAACAAGCCAAAGACTTGCTTCTTCTGCTGCGCTCTTAAAGGCAATAATAGGAGAAAATTGGTTCTTGAAATTGAATTGAAAAAAAGCGAGTCTCTTTCAGCAAAGTATAATGCTTCAGAATACATTTGGTGAGCAGCAAATGGAGAAAAATGGAGTGTAGTTACATTATTGTCTTTCATTTCAGAGAGGGGAAAACTGTGGAGGTATCCCCTGTTAAGACTGGCTTTTAGTCTCAATCTACACCATGTGTCCCTTTCCTCTCTCTCAACCACTGTCTTTTACCAAATGGGCTGTGAGGATGAGCTTGTTGTGAAATTAGTATCCTTACAGAGAGGACACAGAGAAAGGATTATGTGAATAGCCAGTAATAAGCTCAAAGTGCCAGTGTGTTTGGGCCAGGCCTGCCTGTGTGTGAGAGGAAATGGCACTGCAAGCGACCTTTTTTGCTCAAGCACCTGGCGAAAAATAGAGTGGCCCCTCTCCTCCATCTGCAGCGTGTGCATTTGTGTGTAAGAGTGTCTGTGTGCGAGAGCAAGAGGGAGAGAATTAACAAGAAATTCTGAGCAGAGATTTGACTCTCATTTATTAGGAAAAGCATTTTTGTGAACACCATTTTCACATTGTCAGGTTTGTGCTAAAAGTGTTGTTTTGTGCTGCCTTTCACAGGGTTTAAAAATACACATTTGACTTAGAGAGTTAAGTGCGTTATATGATCCTCTGGGTGTTAGGCCAAATTTAATGTAGTGTGAACAATGTTTTATCAAAACGTGTTTTATTTTTGAGTGGTCCTGGATTAAAAAAACATTTTACATAGGAATTGAGTGCAAGCCCTTTGTGGGACAGTCTGGTGTTTTCTGACCCATCCACCCACCACTGAATCCTCTAACATGGACTTTGTGCCTCTATATGTCACTGAACATCCTCCTTTGCTCGTGTCATAGCACCGAGCTATAACACATTATTGTTGGTTGTAATATCTCGCTGGCACAAATGACATATGGACTTGTTTTTTGCAGGACAGTCCTCATATGGGGGAATAATGTGTTACATTAATGTTTTAGAAGGTTTGTTGTTAAAGGTCAGATGATTTAGCACAACCTGAAAAATTAAAATGACTAACATCTTAAATGGATGTGACTTATTTGTTTCTGTATTTTCAGCACTTAACATTCTACTCAACTGTACATAAAGATAATAATATAAATATAAATGCAATTTTTCCTGATTTTTGCTTTTAGATTGTGGAACATTTTATTATTTGTAAAGGTTGATGTGATTGAATGCTATTAGTGGTTTAATAATTTTTACTGCTGATTTGTATTTTGCTTTAATCCTTAAATGAGTGAGAACAGGAGCTGGTGTTTTATGAACTGACATAAATTTATCTTGTAGTCATTGTAATTGCTTTCTTTCATATTAAAATGATAATCCATAAAATGAAGTAAAGGACTAATGGCAGGTGACTAAATGTTCATTTAGTAATTCACTGAGAAAATAAATAACGGGACAAGCCTATGACAAACGCAGGAGAAATCATTTTTCAATAATCTGCCACGCATCATGGCAGGAGATGCTGGCGCTGACAGCACAGATGAAATATTTGCCTCTGTTCTTTGTTTTAATATGGGAGGAGACCGGCCCAGATGGAAACGATAGTGTTTCATATCGATGCATTTTGGACAAGAGACTCAAACGCATGCAGAGCTAAGATTAAAGCCGCAATGCTTTATACAGACAGTCTTGCTTTTTGGGTGAGAGTGGGTTTCTGCAGTGTTATTCACAGTACAGCAAGAGCACATGTTTCCTGGAAACCAAACAATATCCGTTAAGTGAACAATAGAGAAGTGAATCTTGATCCTTATCATATAAAAACACTTTCTGGACCTAAATGGTTTTGCTTTAGCAGTTCTCATCTGGCACATAATCCAAGTAGAAGGCTTTGTAATCAGTCATCATTGTGCTCTGTGACATTGGTATGTTGCTGACGAATGATACTCTCCATACTACTCAATAGTTGGGGGTTCTTAGTAAGGGAGCTGTGCATTTCCACTGGGGCTGTGATGGGCTTTTTGAGAGGAAACTAGCAGCAACTGCCTCCCTGTTCCTGAGTGAAGGTGGCTGTGGGGAAAAGGGGGAGTGCAGAGCTGGAGATTTATGGCCTAGAGGGAGATTGATTAGTGCCGTCACTAGCCCTGATGTACGGTTGGCAGTCTCCCCCTCCCAACCCATTGCATTTGCTCACACACACACACAACCATACGGTTCAACACACAGCTACACATACATTCAGACACTGCTGAGTCCCCCAGGCCTTTCCTGACAGTCCCCCAGAGCTGTTGCATGTTAAGTTGTAGCAGACAGACTGCTGTTTTCTCAGCATTACCATTTTCTTGCTGTCCATAGATAACGCCATCAATCACAACATACACATTGCCCTAGAAGGAATGTGCCTGAGTATTGCTATGTTCTATGTGTGCCTGTGTGTTTGTTTTGAGGATGGGTTCATAGACAGGAGATGCGGTTGAATGGCTGGTGTGGATGTGCTGTGTAAAGCTGCAGAGTGACTAGCCTGGACTGCGCGCTGAACCCATGTCAACCGTGCTGCCCCAGTGCAGGTGTGTGTTTATCATTCAGCTCACAGAGCTCTGAGAAGCAGCCAGCTGTGGGCATGCTTTCTCAATTAAATCCTGGGTGAGAAATCGAGCCCATCTAGCCCAAAGCCAGCTCCTGCCGGCTTACCGGACACAGCCATGGAGCTCTGACCTCGAATCATCCTGCTAAACTCACTCAGCATTCGTATTTTTCTCTTTTTCTCTTTGTTCCTTTTCTGCTCCAGATTGGCCGCAGAACTCCCCCGCCTGTAGTACTGTGCCCACCTTGCCATGCTTGCCTGTCTGCAGAGGAGGCAAAACCCTCCACCCCAGCACCCGGTGTGTACCAGCAAGACCCTGGAGCCACCGCAAGCCCTTGGACGGAAATGTAAGTTAACGAAGTGACAAGGAGCGACAGAGGTCAGGAGTTCAGCTCATCTAAAGCCAAAGAACAAGAGAGATGTGTATCTGTCATTTGTTTTTAATCTATCGGCCATGGTGAATGATGGAAAAGGGTAGTTAACCCTGACTGTGAATAAGTGAAGAAAATAGACTTTCCGGTTTCTGTTGTTTGTCACTGTGCACCCTCGCTACTCTAAGGAATTCTAAACAGTTTTGTTCGCTCTGCACTTAGACCTTGGATTGCCATGCTGTTTGGCTACTCATTGTGTGGGGGGCTGTTTAGCTGTGCTGATTGTGCAGTCGTGGCAACAGGGCTGAACAGACAGTGTTTAACGTGCCTCGCTGGCCCTGAGTGACCCTGAGGGTCTGTAAACATTTACAGTGTCTGGCCCTGGCTGTGCCGGCCGCCTGTAAAGCATGACAGCTGCTCTGTTTGCTCCCCGAGCACCACCCTCTGTCCACTCACAAAATGGTGCAAAGGGACAGAGATGAGCAAGGGTTGAAAACTGTTGCTGGGCTGGCAAATCTAGTTCTAACCAGTTTGGGATTAGAGACAGCTGTGGCAGTCAGACATCTGGAAGGTGAATTTCTCCCTACTTTTGTTGATGCTTTTCAGATAATTTTTATACACTGAGAGTATGTTTTCTGATGAGAGGAAGAATGCTCTTTCCTCCTTATTAAATGCATCTCAAATCTTTAGTGGTCTTTGTTTACATGGCAGGCCTATAAGCTACCTCAAGGACTGGCCAATGGAGAGCTGGGGATGTTAACCTAGTAGTAGAGGCTCAATGGGAATATTTGGTTCTGTGCTTCTTCATCTGTAGAAGATGTAACCAGTCCTGCAACTAACCCAGTGAAAGGCTCTAGAAAGACTCCAATTGGCTATGGGTGAAGCTTTTTCTACATTATTTCTCAGCTCCTCACTGGCCAGTTAACTGTTTCTCATCTGAACATTACACTCTACTCGCCTCCCACAGAGGAGAGGAGAGGAGAGTCACAAACAACAAGGTGACAAGGTGCTACCTCCGTCCTCAGATCTGCAGTTGTGTTTGCTGGTCTGTATGGATGTTTCATATGGGGTTGTATAGATGTTTGTGAAACAGAGTGGGAACTAGAGGGATAAACAAGAGCTCCAGGTGCATCTGGCACCTCTTTAGCTGAGTAGGGCTCAACCAGGCTCAGTAATGAGGTTTCAGAGAGAGATAAAGTGAAAAGGAGGACAAAGAGAAATGGCAAAATAGAATTAGAGAAGGTAAAGATGGAGAGGAAGGGAGAGAAATGGAGGGAGTCCTCAACAGTCATCTTAATCGATTCCCTCCTTCCAATTTCACAGGATTAGCCCACTTCCTCTCAGGGTTCTTTATTGAGGAGCAGCCAGTTGGAGTCAGGACTCAAATCAATAGAGAAAAAGAACAGTCTCCAGTCGTCCTTTGCCCTCCCTCTTACTGACCCTGTCTCCCTGTCTCTGTCTGACTCACCCTCTCCCTCTCCTTCTCCACCTGTTAAACCATTTGATTGAAGGACTACCATAGCGACTGACTTGAGGTTCATAATGAGGATGTTTGAACATAATAGCCTCCTTTCTGTCCTTGGAGGGGGAGGGGGGGCAAGTGTTGGATTTCCACCACTGTGCAGCTCTTGGCCTCAATAAGGCAATTGTTTGTCCAGACCCAAAAGGGTGCAGCAAGGCAGACAGTGGGTCTGGCTGCAGAAGGCGGCACACTCAGGTCTCCATGCTGAGCAGGTCCCCATGATTGATTGTCCGTGACCCAGTTTGTGCCAACACGAAAGGGAGATGCGAGTAAGGTGACCTGGGCTCTCAACAGGAGGCTGAATACCAGAATACACCCCTCAAAGAGAGAGAGTGAGTGAGAGCACAGGAGGGGGATTACCTGGCAGTGAGGTAGAGGTGAGCTGTGTCATTTGCATCTGCTGTCCTTTACACAAAATTGCATACAAAATAATGTGCGTGTGTGTGTATGTGAGGAGCGGGGTGGCAGAGCAGTTGGGATGAGAGTGTGAGGTAGGCTTTAGAAAAAGCCCCTGCATGCAGATGCCGAGTGGCTGCACAGTTCATTGATGCAACTCCCATTAAAAATCCCTCATACCCTCAATAAAAAAGGACTTAACTGGCTCTACCATCAGCTGGAAGCGTTCAGATCAGCTCGCCAGACAATCAATTTCCCCCAAGCGCACAGAGCTTAGCAGGGAGAAACGGGAGGCGGAGAGCGGGATGTTTCCATTATCACAGCCCGCTCTCTGTCTGTGTGTGGGGGGGATGGGGGGTGCGGGGGTGAGGTGGAGCAGGGAGTGCAGGGGAAAGAAAGGAGGGAGAGGCAGAGGGAGATGGGGGAAGACAGACAAGTGGAGAAGAGTAAGAAGCAGAAAGCGAGTCAGAAGCTAGCTTTTCAGAAAGCCATTGACCGCCTGCCCTTAAAAATATCATATTGGATTAGTCTCACAGGGCGGCCTTTTGATATTTTTTTTTCTTTGGCTGTAGAATTAAAAGAAGTGCAGAGCATTACTTGAATTATAAATCATAGCCACTTGCTTTAACTGCGGCCAAATTCCATGCATATGTGGCTGCACTCTCCAGCGCCAGCCACTGTCATTTTTAATTAAATCCCCCCTTATGGGTGACATTTGTAGCTTGTCCTCTCCTTCCTTCATCCCCCCCCCAACGGCTCTCTACCACTGCCCTAGATGGAGACATGAAAAACAGAAACGGCAGCAGAGCCAGGGCCTCATCGTGTTGTGCCCGAGAGAGAGGGCACCCATCCAGACAGACGCGAGAGAAAGACCCTGCAGGGGAGAGGGGTGAATGGATGCCACTGACCCCAGCTGCCCTTGGCCAGCAGCAGCTTCCCTCGCTACCCCTTGATCATCGTCCTCCACTGTGGACCTGAATGTCCATGGTACAAAGTGTAACAGCCCTACTCCTGGAGGGGAGAGGGAGGTGCACCAGGCCAGTGAAGAGTAACACTGGGATGGCTGAACAGGAGGCCCAGCAGCCCCCACGAGCAACCTGCTTCATTCCTGGCCCAGACAGCAATTACTCTGCCACATGTCAGCTGAAGAATAACAGGTCCCTCAATTGACTGGTTGATGGGGATATTGCTGTCTGGCTCTGTTCCAAAATAATGTCTTTTCAGATTTCAGCACGGTTTCATTTGTTTATTCATTACTTAGCAGTTCCATTTGTGCCAGCATGACATTTTCTAAGAATGTCACTATTGTATTGGGTGTGCACATTTTTGCTCTTCATCCAGGCCCAATGCAAGTAAATCACACAACTCACTGCCACTCCCATATTTGTCCTGTGGTTGGATCAGACTTTGGGATAAAGCTGGGTGTTCCTTCATGTCTCTAACCCCAGCAGGGCCTTGCTGCACACACAGTGATTTAGCTGACCTTGGTCACACTGCAATGACTTGCATCACCCTAATTAAGACAGAAACGATTTCACTTCATGAAGAATGGAACTGCAGCGAAATCAAACTCAAGGAATTGGCTTGTATGTAGTCCAGAATTTGTCCCTAAACTTTTTTGTAGCAGAGATGTGTACACACATATACAAGCACACATGCAGCTGTAACCATCTGTGAAAACACCCAGGAGGCCTGAGGCGCCAATCAGTCAGGTGTAGATGAGAAGTTCCCAGAAGGCCTGATATCCCAGGTTCACGTTATGTCAGGCTAGGCTCAGCCCTCTTCCAGCTTGATCGACAGAGACAACCTGGCCTTGTCACACACAGCCTCAGGACATGACATGGAGGTTCACCTGGGGATTGTAGTTTTTCCTAATAGCCCCGTGCCTCTGCAGGCAAAGCTGACAGAGCCATTCGTTTGCTTTGCTTTTAGCAGCTTCTTTTCCTAAGCCCCACCTCAAGTGAGAAGGAATATGCTCAGGTAATGACCTCCAGCCACCTCCTCCACACTGTTGTTGGAGGTAGTGTGAGGAATAACAGTGGAATTAACTGGCCATATCAAATTGCACCATGATATTCAACTGATTTTATGTGGTTAAAAAAAAGAGGGCGATAGTGTTTTCAGTTAAATATTTAAATATGGTCACAAGAATTGGCAGACATAATAACCTTTACCCTGATTGCTTCAGTACCCTTGAGGTGGGGGGCATAAAGTAGAACTGGGGAAAAAGGAATGGAGACAGAGCAAGGGAGAGAGAATCTGCATGCACTTGACCTTTTCCCACTGATTGAACTACCTTGTTTCTAACTCCCATTTGGAATTCCACAGAGTACCCGCAGAGACTGTCATTATTCCACAGTCAGTAGCAGAGAAGTGGAGGTCAGGAGGTATCTCTCACGGTGAAAGTTGATTGACAGCTATCCATGGCCTCCATACACTGGATGCCTGCTTATGCAGTGTCATTTTGGGGATTGCTAGGTTTGCAGAGACACATGAAATGTGTCATTCACGTTGCTATATTGCAAAATCCAGAGAGCTAATAGAGTTGCAGTGGATTTCTGAAAGACAGCCAAGTAATATTGGTTTTACTAGCCTTACCTACAGCTTCCTCTGTCACATTGGTGTCTCAGCGCTGGCACACAGAGGATCATTTCCGGCTGGTGGCATCCCACAGAGCCATGACTTCCCTCTGCCCTCTACCTTCTGCTGTGAACACAGGGGGTGAAGCAATCTTATTGCCTTGGGAAGTGAGCTTGAGGAAGAAGGGCTCTGCTTTAGTTTTGGTCACAGCAGGACTTGGTTTGAAAAACAGGTTCACAGTTCCAAAGCCACCGAGCTGGCATTTGGGCATCCCAGGTGCAAGGCACCAACACCCTCTGTCTTCCCCTGCCAGAGAGTGGGGGTAGGTCGGGGTATATGAGCAGGGCTACAGAGGGTGTCCACAGTCCCTTGCTGGCCCACAGGAAATAACACACTGTCTGTGCCATCTCAGAGTTGAGCCCACCACAGACTGACCATGAGAGGCACTCAGGAGGAACTGCACACTCTTGGCAGGATA